TCGCTCTCTTTCTCTCTCTTTCTTACTGCTAATTCTGTGTATATTATTATACTATGTGATAGATTATATAAATTGATATCTCGAAAACTATATGCATCGTAGTTTATAACATTTCTGATTTTCTGAAGTTTCGCCAATTATGTTTATGTTATGACTTTGACGGGTATGACTTTATGGTTGTTTACATTACTTGAGAGCTGTTTTGGTTTGTTTCGCGTGGAAAATGTATGCGCGGAGGCAGCAAGTTAAAAATGTTGAAAAAGTTGGTAAACTTTGGAGTCGCAAAAAATCCTTTTGGTATATGTGTTTTTTATCCAAAAGGAACTTATTCACAAAGTTTCACCTAAATCTGAGCATGTTTTCGGAAGTTTCGCCGCGTTCTAAATTCCCGATCAATTAGTCTCTAAATCTTGAAATTAAACCTATTCTCAAATCTGTGACGTCATCAATTATATAGATATAAATCTAACGACATCTTTAATTGAATCGTAGGACATTGGATTTTCTGCAGAAAAATTAATTCTTAATTTAATAACTAATTTTTAATTGCTCGAACTAGTAATATGTACTTACTTAAATGGACATGTACAAAATGTAAATTTAATTAGTTATAATTATTGTTACGGTCTGAAAGATGATCAATGTGACTTCACTGTTTGCATATGTGTATTAGACTACTGTAGGATGAGCTAACACATGTCTCGAATATAAGTATATACGTGAATTTCTATGTCACAATGCACAAACTCAGAGCGATGCACATCACGTTCGTCATCACTTTCGCTTTCTTATGTGTCTTTCGTTCCTTCTTTCCTTCCTTCCGTGCTCCTTCTTTCCTTTTTTCCTTAATTCTTTTCTTTCTTCCTTCATTCTATCCTCTCTATTCTTATTATCACGTGATTCCAATCCGGGCAGGTCTCCGTTGTCGCCTTTCGCATCTTTTTTTCTACAAAGATGCCCAAAAAGCAACGTAATATGAGCTATGCCTAAATTTTTCGGTTTTCTTAACGCAATTTTCGGTAACGAACTTTAATCCTAAATGGTAAATATCTTAAAACATATTTGAATAACGAATAATAAAAGAAAAAACAAATTTGAAAACTTGGTTCTTTAAATGTTCTCTAAATACATAGGAATAGTTTCTCTTTGATCTGATTGTTCTTAAGGGGTAACTCTAGAGATTCGAAAAATAGAAGAATTTTTTATGGTTAAAAGAAAAAGTAAATAAAAAATCTATTTAAAGGACTTTATTGTACATATCTTAAAGTATATGAAACAATTTTTTATTTTTTAAATGGCGGCGCTGGAGCCTTGTAAACGTAAGCGTATTATTGCGGGAGGTGCTCCGGAGCTTGCAGCATAAGTGTCGCAAATTTTGACCTGTAACAAAAAACAAAAATTTTTCATAATCTGCATGATAATAGCTAGAGAAATACGTAGGGGATTTTTTAAATATTGCTATTTCTATGAAAAACAATATTTAAAAAATCCCCTACGAATTTCTCTAGCTATTATCATGCAGATTATGAAAAATTTTTGTTTTTTGTTCCAGATCATGCGGCAATATTATGCTGCAAGCCCCGGAGCACCTCTCGCAATAAAACGCTTACGTTTACAAGGCTCCAGCGCCGCCATTTAAAAAATAAAAAATTGTTTTATACACTTTAAAATATGTATAAAGTTCTTTAAGTAGATTTTTTATTTACTTTTTTTAACCACAAAAAATTCTTTTATTTTTGGGCCTGTAGAGTGGTGTTACCCATTAATTATATCGAGCTTTATCAGAAACATAGAGATCAGGTAACGAAATTTAAAAAAATTAAATAGGCGAGTCTGAGACACGCTTCTATTCTTTAGGATTAAAGTTCCCACATGATCGAAATTGCAATTTGTAAAAGGGCAATTTCAAGATCGATTCCAAGACTCCGTGAAATTCCAATCAATTTCGTTGCAACGCAAGATTGCATGCTCACGCACATGCATCGCACGATTTAGCCGTTTCACGATTCCCGCCCTCCCCCATGTCTTAAGTATCGCACCCTTATTCCACGGTTCTTTGCCGAAATTCTCCGGGCCAACCGCGCTACTGGTCGATCGTCCCTTCAGCACATGCTTTCTGTGTTCTTCTTGTACTTGCAATTACTGCACTACTCACGCGTCTAAACAAGCTTCGGATTTACCGCTCCTTCTCTTTCTATATTTTTTTCTATCTCTTTTTTACGAAAGTCTTTCTTACCGAGGAACTGTGGTACTTTCCATGAGTTTTCAACATGTCGTAAAAAAAATGTTTAATAGGACGATAAAAGACTTTTATTTTGATTCGAAGACAGAGAAGTGAAAAGTTTTACAATAAGATTACGGAAAAGAGTTGATACAATCGTTAATCAAATCTCTTTGTTTAATTATTGAGTTATATATTATTCAAATCAAAATAATATTTACATTAGAAAATGGGCAAGTTTGTTGCGAGTATACACTTTAAGTCCGAGTGTGTTATATTAGCTGAAGCTCTTCTTATACATTTCTTTCCGTTTTAAATCACGTCATTTAACACGATTGAATGTATTAACTTTTAATTAATACGATTAAACGTGTTAAATGACATAATTTAACACAGAAGAAACATGTAAAAAGAACTTTAGAATGACACAAATGTGTCATTTTTAGACGTTTATGCGTGTAAAAATAACACACTTGTATTGCAATGTAATGAAGTAAAATATAGCGATTTATTAACTTACAATTAGTGTTCAAACGACGTGACAATTCTTTAAATAAAAAATTCTTTAAATTCTTTTTTTCTTAAATAAGAACGGTTGAGAACTCGTGTTATCTCTAATTTTTTACCATAGTCCTCTTTAGTAGATCCTAGACAGAAAAGAGACAAAGTTTTCTGGCTATAAAACGCTCCTCGAACGATCAATATGTATTCATATTCATAACTTACGGTAATGATATTTTAATCATTAATTATCTGTCATTACCTATTGCAACGCGTTGCTATTGAACTTGCAATCGATCTTGTCATATGATACGTATTTACCGCATATGATACTCGCAACGTTTACATTAACCCAAATTAAACGCGCGAATCAATAATCGATATTCAATAGCAACATTTTCCCTTCAACCTTCAATATTTATTTAGACTAAATTTATGCAAAATTCTAAATTTATATTGAATTATTTTTTCTTCGCGCTTTCTACTTATTCCTTTTTCTTCTTATTAACAACTCTTCGCTATCTTTTCTGTCCTTTGCTGTTGAAATTAACTTTTTTTTTTGTGGTAACATCATTCTTTCAATAATATTACCGATATTGACGGCAAATATTGATTGTTTGAGGATCTTCGACATTTTAAAGGCCATACGTTTTAAAATATAAATGTAATTCCGAAAGAACATCTAATTTTCCATCCCTTATGTGTAATCTGTATAATTTTTATGTTAATTGGATAATGTCGAAAATATGTGGTCCGCACAAAGATTATTATATAATTATGGTCTTTAACGGGATGTCATAGTGGTGTACAATCTTGAACAGTCCACGATTAATGAATGAAAGGTTTAGAGACAAATCAGACGGGAAAAGGAAACAGGCGAGAGATATCAATCGAGTATAACTTTTCATTTTATTACCATCGGAATTCAAGTGCAGATTCCTTTTGAATGTAACGTCGCGTAAAATTTGTATATGATGTATCAGTTATCGATCGTATCGTTACATAATGATCAGCTAGCTGATGATTTTTCGTAAGCGACTAATACAGTGAGGCTCGCTACGATCTAATCGAGCGAGATGTAAAGCAAGGATACCGAACGGGGGTTGTGAATCTCGTGCGGAACTACAAAACCCGACGCGACGAGAGATTGTGCACCACTCGCCGGTGAACTTAAGCCGCACAACCGCTTATCACGCCCACACCCCACACACCTCTGTGACCGAAACCCGAACTGATAATCCGCAGGGCGAGTCGAATGAAACGAGGATAGCCGTGGCGAACCAACGTGCGCACGCCCTGCTCAAGTAAAATGCGTCTTCTGTCTGTCTCCATCCGTATCCGCCTCCTCCGAGCTCTACAAGTTGCATATCACAGAGACGCCGTTTCGAACAAAAAAAGAAAAGAGAAATGGAAATTATACCACGCGTACTCTTATGTGTATTATACGTAGGGAGGCCTGACATTCGGATCTCGGGGCTGGGATTATTCGAGGCGCGAGTGAAGGAATAGATGTTAAGGGGGAATGCCTACCTAGAAAGTTCGAAAAAATCGATTGTTCAATTTTTGCATTCCAAGCAAGGTGGAGGACTTATATCATAGACCTGGAATCGATGATTCTATGTAAGTTGAAAAATTTCGCGATTTATTCATTGCTCAATTTTCAAACGCGTTTTTCTCGAAACCATGTTAAAAATCGGTGACCAAAATATCTCGGCAACCGCTGAACCGATTAATTTAAAATTTCTAGTGGTTATTCTATACATAATTATCTAGTCTTTGTCGTAGGATTTTTTTTAAAGTGACTTAGTTTTTTTTATCGGCAAAATAAACCCGAATTTTTCTCTAAAAATCGCTATTTTAAATTCAAACGCCCGCCATTTTGTCAAAAATCGATATTTTCAAAAACCCCTACGTCAAAGACTAAATTATAGTGTCAATTTTAATAATCTTTTTGGTTTTTTTTATTCTGATGATTACAAATGAAATGGGAGTGGTCACCGCGGAGGACCTTTTTTTTTGCGGCAATCGACAGAACCCAAGAATACTCCGCCAATATTGAATATTTTTTAATAAAAAAAATTTAACATATTCTTAAAAGTGTGTACTTTCATGTAGAAAAAATACCAATACCATAATTCATATAGGTTTCCTTAAAAAAATTTACAAAAATTGCCTTTTTGTCGCGCTTCTAGGTAGGCATTCCCCTTAAGTGCTAAATTAAAATCCACGCGCTTAGGTATTAGTCATCGAATTGAATTATTTGAATGTTGATTTATCGAGTAGATTTAACGCATAGCATTGTATACGCGCGCGAATATTATATTATGCTCGATTTGCCGTGAGTTACGTCACCGTACATCCGACTATAATATTTAATTAATCAGAATGGCCGAGGGGATGATAATATTACAATTGGAACGTGATATCTAGCTGTCGAAACGTTTGGAATATATTGGATTATTCGAATATTCTCAGCTCTGCGAGTGAGTCCCCCGTCCATCATCCATTCCCTTTTTGCTATTTTCTCGTCGTTGCCTGGACACCAACCCGATCCGCAAGCAACCTATGCAACAACGGAAAACTACCACCACCAAATATAACTACCACTTCTACTTACTTCTATCACCATTACTAAGCTCTCCGTCGATATGTACGACGATATCTATACAGTGAACAGCCGCTCGATAGCCGCGATACACGAAAGAGCTTCTTCGTGGGAATGGCCGATCTGGTATTTGCATAGCCGGGATCGCGCGAGGAATATATCTTGCCAGTACTCTCGAAACTCGTAAATTCGCGAAAAATCTTTATTGAGTCAAATGCAACGATGGTCTCGGGGTTTGTTTTTTCTTGGTCAGAGAAAGATCGGCTCCAAATTTGTCAGAGAGAATTCGTCGCTATAATAAAATAAACTCGAAGTGCACTTCGTGCATCTCGAAGTCGATAGAAGGGAATTTGTCCTTTTAATAATTGCTGCAATTAATAATTAACTTAATTGCGATCTAATATTCCTAAATTTTATTCTTCATTGTCTGAAGAATAATCCTGGACGATTTATAAATTATCTCTCGAGGGATATTTTATTTCGACAAGGAGAAACGTGATATACTTATGTATCGTGGCTATCGCAAGCGGTAAGAGCATCGCACTGGGATGTGTCATCGCTTCCCATTGTTATAACACATGTTGTTACAAGACCCATCACACGTGCTGTCATTCTCGTTGTGATTGTGTCACGAACGGGCGTCATCGTCGCTGTCGCCGACGGCTCCTGGATACTCGCCGCGGCCATGTTGGAATGTAACGTCAGAAGTGAGAAATGTCACGTTGAAAATTCTTGCATGGTATTTTCAAATAAACAGATATTTGCTTAAAATAACACTACAGATCACTTCAGTACATTTCAAAAATACTCCGAGCTGGATCCCTTTCTCTTGACAGTTATTAAACAACCGTAAAACGAATGTGATACGATGCGGGATTATGCGCAGGTGCATGACTAGGTTTCGTATTACATTCATTTTGCTGCTGTTTATTAATTGTCAAGGAAAAGGGATAGACCTACCCTAATCTCGGAGTATTTTCAAAGTGTGCTGAAGTGATCTGAAGTGTTGTTTTAAGCAAATACCTTTTTATTTGGAAATGACATACAAGAATACTCAACGTGTCAATTCTCAACATTTCTCGCTTTTGACGTCACAGTCTCGCAAGATGTCGGGAAAGAGCCCAGTAGTGCGATTCTCGTTATGCGTCGTTATGTTCTCATAACGACAGTTGCGCAGCTTTTTTATTATATAGTATACCTACGCAACTGTCGTTATAAAATAAACGCACATAACGACAGCATAACGAGTTACAGAATCGCACTACATGAGCCTTAATTCTTTTGAACTCCCGGTATCGGGACCGCACCGTTCTCTGTCAGTCGCTTTCGCTCCGATGTTCCCCGAGGTTGATCAGGTTAACACGCTTGACACGTCGCGAAAAAGCAGAAATTTTATCCCGACGGTTTGCGCGGAGCCGCACGACTCAAGTTGATATGTTCGCGACCGTATCGACTATTAGCCGTGTACGGTGTACGCAGGGAGAAATGAGCCTGAGAAATGAGCTTCGGGATTCTTGGAGAATTTCTGACACGTAGTCTTCCTGAAATCGCGCACGAATGGAAAGAGATTTTGCGGCGGAAACTTAACGCTTGTTTGACGCGTGAAAATAAATCTCGCTATAATGACGGACGGTGTTTGCCGTAAATAATTTCAAAATAATCTGCGATGAATTTATGAGACTATTTATAAAAATTTATCAAAAGAATTACGCCGATTATAAAAGGGATATTAAAACAATACCTACTCACAATTTTATTTTAAGTTTTTATTTCTCAAAAATAAAAGTTTCAAATGTTTTATCTGATAAGCGGTTTCGACGGAGTAAACTTATTTGCTAAACTAAAAAGATGCTCTACTGGCACCGACGATGACAGGGATGTATGTATTATATTTAAGAAAAATATTTTTAATATTTGGAAAATTTATAAGAGAGATTGGAGGTGCTTCGATTTAGATTCCAAATACGAAAGTGCTTCAATGTTATCACTAATAATAATAATTGTTTGCATATTATTCTCTTTTTTTTAACATTGCGGAAGAAATCTTCCTCTCTGTTACTACTAGAAGTTAATCTGTTTTTCGAGTATCATGACATTCTTACAGTATAAATAATTTACTTCTTTCAAAAATAGGTCTTTACACAACTTTATGCATTCTGGATCGAATTTAATTTAAACGGCGGTAAAAAGTGACAGAAAGAATAAAAATCCTACTACATTAAATAATTTTTAGATAAAGATAACATTCCAGCAAACACAGAATACACCGAGTGCGCAATTTGCTATCAAATTGCGCACTCGGTGTTTTCTGTGTTTGTTGGGATGATTTTTTAATCTAAGATGAAGATGAATATATTTTGTATTTTTTTCGTGTAAATAAGATAATACATGATTCTATTTCTTTATCTAGATGATCATCTGGATAATTTTATCTAGATACTGGCAAACACTGAATGATGAATTATCCGATGTTATCTTTTTTGTTAGCAAGATAGGAAAATATCGAATAAATTCGCAGCTGAAACGGAAATATCAACTAGCAAACGCGTCTCGCTGTCGCTGCTTCGGTGTGGCGGAATAGAAATCAATTTGTCATTATAGCGAAGTAATTTTCGAATGAGATTCTTCTTAACAAGCTTTTTTTTATTCGTCCCCGGCGTGTAACACGAAATTCACTGCGTCAGCGCAAAAAGGCTCCGCAGAACATTTCATCAAATTGACATCCCCGCAATCGACCCCCGTTTCTTCGCGCGCTAACGAAAACGCATCGACGTTACGAGCGACAAATTTTCCAAGAATCTCTCAGTTGTCGTAAAATCCTCAAGAGAAATAACGATTCCGCAGCGTTAAGCTGTTCCAATCCCTGGAAGAGCTTCGATCCGCATCGTCGATCGACCCTCGTCGTTCGCAGCTTGCATATATGACAATGCGTTCTTGTTTTTTCTTGTTCTTTGACACGCAGGGTGAATCAAACGAGACGAGGATACAGGTGGCCAACGAGCGAGCCCATCAACTACTCAAGTAAGCGGCCACACTCTCTGTCGACTATCCGCGCCCCGTCGGCCGCCACGAGCGTCACCACCATCACCCTCCACCACCACCAACAACAACAACAACAACAACAACAACAACAACACAATAGCAACAACAACAACATCGACACCAACAACAATCAGCACAATTACATTCGACAGTCTACTCGATCGTTTACTCGCGATCTATAATCGCGTTACGTCTGTTAGAACGTTGTTTTTTCGTTCATCTTCACCGATACCGAGTACCGGCCGGTACTTTTCGAGCTCGGTATCGTCAGAATATGTAATACTTAATGAAAATACTTAACCCTAAACTTGACTGAGTGGATTCTGTAAACTATAATTCTCAGAATTTCGTAATGTCCTTTTTCGTTCGTAATAAGAGATCGTTTGAATCACGCGTCACATCGCCATAGGCGTCTAAAAATCATCGCGACGATATGTAAAGGGACTTGGGATCTTTGGGACGTTTTTCGGATTTTTGGCACAGTTTCTTAAGCTATATTATATTAAATTATAATACACTCCGCGAACGATAATGCCGAGAAAATCGACGTGAAAGAAAAATAAACGCTGAATTGGTTGTCGGTGAACTGGTGAGTATCTGCTCTGCATTTCCTTCGTATAACGAAATTTTTTTACTTTCTTAGCTTTCGCAAGTTTAGGGTTAATATACGAAGCAAATTCGCACGTTACAAATTCGGAGATTCTGACTTTCGGCTTCAGATCTGACCGTACAAGTCCGGTTCCTCATTTAGCGTCGAAAACATCTAATTTAATTTTCCATCTTTAACCTTACTAATTCACATTTTGCAACTAAAAATTAGATTTAATCTCCGAGACGGGCTTTTTGTCTTTACAATGGCAATAATCCGCCGATGCAGAGCTTCGAAGATTCGAGGCGAATGTTTCGAGGCATTTAGATGTGGCTAATCGGTCATCAAAGCTGGATTAAAAACGGATCTCTAACTTAAGATTAACGGAACAGTCTTATTGTACCGATCACAACGAAGAAGCCGATGAAATCTTTTTCTAGCATGGCAAAAGCGTCGAGTTATCGCGTAGTTTAAAAAACGGAAAAAACGCTAAAATCCAATCTCCGGTTCGGGAACGAACAGCTTCGTTCTCTATGCCGGCAGAGTTAGCGCGTTGAACGATGGAACTTAAATAAAAATTAATACACGCGCGCACACACACACACACACACACACACACACACACATATATATATATATATATATCTTTCGTTAGTCACACACACGTACATACACGTACACATACCGGGAAGATTAAATGCACGAAAAATTGCAGCAATTAATTCAATTCTCTCGGTTTAATCGACTCTAGACAGTAGGACGGGATTGTATCGAAAGCGCAAGAAACAAACGGAGGGGAAAAAAGAGAAAGGAACAAGATAATAGTACAAAAATTATTACACTTATCTCCCGTTTAGAAAAAACATTTCGAGTACAAGCTTTATTTATTTGTCTCATCGTATATTGCCGCTCTCCGCGATTACAATTTGCACTCGAGGATCACCCTCGAAGCGTGTCAACGATCCTGTCTACAAACGAAAGAAGCAACATCCTAATCTCCCTCTCCCTCGAGTCTCCCCCGAAACACAAGGGGGGACCCTGCGTTGTTTTCCCCCTTGATCGATTACGCGTATTCCCGAGGTCAGTATTGAGTAATTTCGAGAGCGTTTTGCGAATTTCGCCGGGTGTTCACGTACGATAAGTACGCGAAGAGATCACGGCGACACTTGGAGGAGGAAGGGAGCGGAATCACGAACGCGAAGGACGAGGAAGCAGGATGAGAGAGAAGAAGAAGAAGGACAAGTAGAAAAAGAAGAAGCAGAAGACTTATATGACGAGATCGAAGCAACGAAGATAACGCATTCAGCCACGTTGATTATTAGGAGTCAGTTGAAGCTGCAGATAAAGCGAGGTCTTCTTTCGTCGTTTTTTTTTTAAAGCTCGACTCGCATTCGACAGCTCGTAGAACGTAGGTGTTATCTCCCTTAACCCTCCCTTGCCTCTATCCAATCCAGCTCACCCGCCCTGTCCCTTAATTCTCCCCTTTTGCGCCAATCGCGCCGAGATCACAGTAAGGTTTAACTCCAAAGAAAGATTGTACATTACTGTATTTACACGAGGGCGACGTACCTACCTTGTTAAATCATACGATGAGGAGAGGAGGTCGGTAGAGAAACCTGACGCAGCTCGAGAATTGACATCCGTCGGTGATCCTGAACAACCTGGATCACTCATGATCCTGGAGTGAACCTTCGTGAACCTTACTAAAACAGCTAGAGATAGCGAGAGGTTCTCACGTAGTGAATTTCTTATTGGTATCGCGACAATTTTTAAGAGGTACGCCAGGGCCGGGGTAGAGTAATTCATCGATATAGTTTTGTAAATTTGCTAGTCCACCAATTTGTCACAAATTACGAGATCCGAGTATCGAAGTTTTTTGCACCTATCGCGACTTTTCCTCCTTTTTAGCGCGCTGTGCACTTTTGAGATGCCAAGAGAGCAGACAATAGCCAACGGGTGTCGATCTCAAGCGGCGCGGCTAGTAAGGATCGAGCACAAATAACTGGCGTAGCCTTTTCGATTTCGCTTGTCCTTTGCTTTCTCTCGGAGAGGGAAAAAATGCCCTTTGAACGCTTCGTCGAACGAATGTGTTACAAGAGGAGTGAAAGGGTTCGTATGAATTCCGAGAATGAGAGAGAGAGAGAGAGAGAGAGAGAGAGAGAGAGATTGTGCTACGACGCGAGATTATTAGGCGTATAGTGATCAC